CACCTTATCTGGTGTTTATTTTGCAACTTCTACTTAAATCATCACGACTGAAAAATCGGTGAAACTTTGTAGCGTAACATCGAAGAAAGGAAACGCCTTTTTGTTTTATTTTCGCAAATCAAATTTGATTCAACTGCAACTGCAGCTACCCAGTAAACACATTTTTAATCAATAAAAACTTGCATGAACTTGAACTTTAAAAGCTTTATTAAAAAACACAGTACCCTTACTCCATTCTATTTGATAGTACGTATTATATCAAATTAAGCTGCCTAAAATTCCTTGTTCGATAATTGAGACAAAGTGCAAACTAAGATTGTGATTTTGGTTAGTGCTAATATTAGCTACTCGTAATACCTACCTATTATCATACTGACTTCTACTTGGTAGCATTATGGTATTGGGTATGGTACTTGTACTCGTAAAGGTTTATTATTGTTCTTTTATACAATAATTTATTATTTTTACTTTCAACGCATTTGAAATTCTGCTCTACATAATTGCATGAGCATCCGTTTGTACTCAATTATTAATTTAATTGTGATCACACCTGTAGGTACAAAAGGTACATACAGGTTCATCCCATTTACAAATTATTTCATTTTATTTATGTCGTTAGAGCCGACTAAGGGAGTAAACTACGCATAACAACAGCACTGCAAAGACAATCAAATCTTGAAACAAGCCAACCTGTCTGGCCAGCGTGGTATAGTAGGCCAAGACCTCCTTTCTAAGAAGAGGCCTATGTCCAGCAGTAGACTACCAAAGGCCGTTGATAATTATGGCGAAGACAATTTATCTTAGATTTCGTTTTAAACACCCAACTATACACAGTTCGTTTAAACTATCAAATAACGCACTTGTGTCAATTGTCTCAAGGGTCCATAGACGGAGGTAGGCACTTACCGTATCATAAAAAATATAATTTTAAAAAGAAAATCAAGAATAACGCTAATTGAAAACCGAGTTACTGGATATGCTTATTAAACATGTTTACTTAATACATCGATCAGGCAGTTATCATTCATGCAATCCACGTTTCATCGTAAGTAAATTTAAATCGAATACTAATTATTTACCAACAAATTTAATTTTACGCAAAGTTATTTTCTACTTACCGAATTTCCCACTACAGTTGGTACGTTACGAGCAACTTGAAAGCGATCTCATTAGTATTCTCGCTCTCGCTTGTAACATTCGGCACAAATAATTATCGTACGTCTCTTTCTAACCGACGATTAATCTGCTTGAAAGTTAAACAAAGTATTTTGTACACTTGCGTGCAGACTTCAATTTCATCAGAATTCAATTTGACGAATCATTATACTGCATTATACTATAGTGTTTTTAACAACACTTTTTTATGATCGGTAAAGATGTTTTTTTTCTGTTTTTGTTAAAAAAAGTGTGTTCCACTTTTAAATATACATATATTATAAATGTTTAAATTTAATTTCTATGTTGCATTTATCTTTAGTGTGGTTAAACGCGATAAACAATAAATATTCGTCTATGTATTTAGCAAACGATACTACTGCTAATCGAAGGCCACCCCCAGGGAGCGCCAGCCATCCTGGTCTTGGGCACTCCGCATCCATCCGCCGCAAGCCATTTTCCTCAAGTCGTCGGTCCATCGTATCGTGATCGTCTGCCCCCTCTTCCATAAAAAATTAAAATAGACAAAAAATGATACTGTTAACTGTTTATTATATATTTCGATATCTTGTTTTTTACAATTATATTCTTTTAAATTAAATCAGAGCTCTAAAGAGTTGATTGCTATAAATACTCTTTTCTTCTATATTACGTTTTATCTATGAACGTGAAGATATAGAACCTGTGATGCAGTAAAATAAGGAGCTCGTTACTTTACTCGTTCTTAGATTCTATATCTTAATATATTTGAACTTCTTGCAAACTTTCATGTCAAGCGACAGTTAGAAAGTTAAATAACTAAATGATAAAAATATTAAAATCCGTCTTAACGCTGCAACAATTTTGGAAGCTTTCGGGTACATGTCCCAAGTGACTATTAATTATTTCGGCTTAGATAATACGATGTAAGCCGAAATAATTAATAGTAGCTCTGTTGCTTATCCACTCGTAAACATTATCTACCATGTTCATTTCTATTATTATCTCAAATTCACTTACATTTCATATTTCAGTATATTTCGGCACTTCTATTTTGTTTTTCAGTTGCTCATATGTTGAGCTATAGTTAAAAAATTGTAAAACGTATGATTTCATAGAAAACAGTATTAAAAATCATTCCCTTATCATGTTCAATTGACATTGCTGGTGGACAGTCGATGTTGTGTCGTATTCTCTTAATTTAAACGATCCTTATATTAACGCTCTCAGCCATGTGTCTCTCATATCTTAATTTAAAGATAAATATGTGTTCATAATCTAATGAGCAGAACAAATTGTTATACATTAGGACTACCATAAAGGAGCTGAAACCTTAGTACAATGACCTGTCACAGTTCCTATTTTTAGTACCAGCTACTAAAGCACACCTTACCTAGAATTTAAAAACTACAATTGCAATACTAAACTACCTTGTCGATTTAAACTTTCATAATAAGATAACTTGTGCACTAGACAGTACTTGATAAGTGGAGCGTGTAGACAATCAGGTTGCGTCCGCTAGCCGTAATGAAACAATTTCGTTATAATGTACAATCGGGTGCTATGGTGTTGCACTGGTTGAATACAATGCATGAAGGGAAAATGCTGAGTGTGCTCAATTCCACTTTCAACTTGTTGAAGTGTAACTAAGGTTTCGATAAGGAAATCCAATTAATATAAACTTCAGACACTTAGTGGAAGTAGTACTTTGGGGGGTGATAAGTCCTACTTTGGGGATGTTGGCTTGCACCCGGAAAGTTTAAATGAAAAATCTTATTGTCCATTCACAGAGGATTGGAGTTTCTTAATTAGAGTTCCTGCCTTACACGTAATTTTCTGCACGTTTATATCATGAATGTGGTTTATCGTTAGATAGATTTTTGTCGTTTTAGATGAAGTTATTGCCATAAGTTATTACCCTCCTCAATTTAATTACATGGAAATTTTCCTTTAAAATACGGAATCCATAGAAAATAATAAAGAATAAAAAATTGAGGTGTACTGGTTACTTTATTAAAACGGAAATTAAATAAAATTGTAACTTCCTTATTTGTATTGTTTTGTATAAAAAAGTAAGGCACACACTTTTTGAAATACGGTCAAATGAAGTATTATATAGTAATATGCGTAATCATTTTTTTTTTTGTAAAGATAAGTTAGAAAAAGATTTACGTAAATAACTATTATATAAAAATAATGTAACCAAAAAATAATAATAAGTAGGTAATTGAAATTCTTAACCTTAAATGGAAATTTTCAATTTTACCGGACTGGTACGATAGCTTTGTTCTTCGTAAAGAGGTTTTATGTCACTTTTTAAACCAGTTAACACTTAATTTTTAGTTTCTAACAATCTCTCGGTTAAAATGTAAAGTATAATATAATATAATATTCTACCACATTCACACAACACCATCTAGTCCCAAACTAAGCAGAGCTTGTAGTATGGATAGTAGACAACTGATATACTAACTGATAACTACGCCATACAGTCGTCGTAAAGGTACGAGTATACTCATAATATATGTTAATTGCCAGCAAATCCATTTAAGGACAAATCCCTTGGCGTTACGTAGAGATGTGGTTTCACTCCGCATTCTCTATCGCATATATCATAGAAAGTGCTCCGAGGAATTGCTCGGACTAATACCAGCCGCAACTTTCCGCCATCGTTCCACAAGGCAAAATTTTCATCCTCATCACCTGGATAGCTGGTGCTCCACTACTGTGCGCTTTTGGAGACACTTTTTGCCCCGCATAACCAATCTGTGGAACAGCTTATCGTCTGCGGTATTTCCGACCGATACGACCTTCAAACCTTTAAGAAAAGAGCGTACTCCTTCCTAAAAGGCCGGCAACGCATTTGTGACTCCTGAGTTGCAGACGTTCATGGGCGGCGATGGTCACTTTCCGTCAGGTGACCTGTCTGGGCCTTAATTCTGCTATTTTATGTTCACGCCAGGCTACTGTCATACCACTGACACGCTATTGAGATGCCATCGAGTGGCCATTGGCATCGGTATAAATATCGGTAGTCTAAACTAACTCAGTGTCTTTACAGTGGCGATGGAATGGCAGTGGCTCATCAGTATGATATGAAAAAGATTGCCGATAATTATACCGATGCCAATGGCCACTCGATGCCATCTCAATAGCGTGTCAGTGGTATGACAGTGGCTTGGCGTGAACATAAAATAACGGAATTAAAGCCCTGCTCGTTTGCCACCTCAAACATAAAAAAAAAATTGCTCTTAATCATTTAACTTCAATTTACAAGTCGTTGAATGTAAATTAACAATTTGAACTTCATTTATTCATTTTTTTACTCGCCGGGGTCAGTAATAAAATTCCCTCGGTGACTGGAAATCATATCATTTTTTTAAATCATTAATCGATGAATCTAAGTATTACTTACCTTTGGAATAAATTTCATTTCTATTTTAAAATAAAGTGTTCAAAGTACATATATGTAGTTCTTTGTATATTTATTTGCGTAGTATTTTCATTAATTTCTTTCTAAGAAATTCTGATTCCAATGCCGATTGACAGAACTTCATTTAAATTTTGTCTTTATTTACTATTCGTATCTATTCATTAAAATGATTTTTTTCGTTACAAAATTTGTCTACGTTCTTGTCCTATGTTCCTTTTCGTCATAGAGGATTGGAGCGCTTTGACAAAGGGCGCAATAACCTCGAGGGTACTTTGCATAGCTCCGGGTTGAAAAGGGTGGTTTAAAGATTAATATGTGAAGTCTTGTAGGATGATGACAAAATATTACATATAAGTGTAATATATCAGTTAGTCTACTATATGTAATACTACTATTCAAGAGTATACTAGAGTATACTAATGAAGTGTTTAGAATGTGTCTAGCAAAAATAAGTAAGTCAATTTAAAAGAAAAATTGGCTAATCGATTTTAAACCAGCATATTCAACTGTTTACAGGATCAGTATACCGATCCTAACGTAATACCGACTTGTAAAAATATCTGAAAAGATTTACTTTCAGAAATAAATATCATTTCATTTCATTTCAAATAAATAATCCATAACAGAAAATTTTAAATAGTTACAACTGTACTTTTTTTGTTAGGTTTGAATATGCGGAACCGTCAAATATTATATAATAATTATAGAAAGAATAGCTGAATATGCAGACCGTCAAATATATATAATTATAGAATCCCTTAAGCTGTCGTCACTATTTATAGAAATACATGCCTAGGTTTTTTAACAATAACGACTGAAATTATATTGAATAAGCATCGTTTTATAATCTTTTGATACGGTTAATACGGTTAAAATTAAGTAACCGTAACCATACGATAATAGTTCAGAACGTTTATCTCAATATGAGTGTTACTTGTTCACTTTCTATGTAAATGTAGTAGTCTGTAATAAAGACTATTCTAAAGGGGCAGGACATCATTACACACCATATCTTTTATGTATTATAAAGTATGCAACTGACGCACTTGTTTTAAAGTTATATTTTCACAGATTTAACCATAGTGAATAAATCGAATAAATGTCAACCTGTTTCAATGATATAGGGATGATCGAAATGCAATAAACGTGTAATTGTTACAGAAGTGATAGTGACGTACCGGCGCGGTCTGCCAGTCATCACAGTGCCGCTGCCGTCGCGCCGTGAACTATGCCGTTTCACACTTCGCCCCGTCTCACAGACAGTCGGAGACCTTCTTGAACAGGTAGGCACAATACTTACAATAAATATTTAAGAAAGGAAATCCTAGGACAACTAAAACCAAGGATATATATATTTTATTTATGGCAACCCAAGCCAGGGCAATCCTTGGTTCATTAAATGAAAATGATATGGAATAAAGGTGTCCATAGGAAGCAAAATTATATTACGGAAGTCCGTGTACTCAGCTTAATTTGACTGGAAACTGTGTAATACGTCCCAGTTTATTATTATTACTTTAATTAGTAGACGTACTACGCTTACCGCTGTCCTTTAATCTAGAAATGCTACGGCTTACATTTTATTGCCGTAATTAGCCTATGAGGATCAAGGTTTCCGAATTATAATGAAATGTGTCATGTGGATCATTGAAGAATCCGCAAAATAGTCATAAAAAAAAATCTGCATTGGTAGATAATAAATCTTTGTCTTATTGAAATAACTGCAGGTGTCCACGGGCGGCGGTAGTTGCTTACTATCAGATGACCCGTCTGCTCGTTTGCCCCCTTATAACATAAAAAAAATATGGTCGTAGTAATTTAATATTAATTCTACTAGAAATAAAATATATTGACAATAATAATGATACTTAATATTTGGAAAAAATCATGTAACTTGTGTTGTAAACTGTACAGTAATATAAACAGAATTGGACTGTAATTAAACTAGTAGGTATATATATTTCACATATATCTACTTACGTACGTATATACCTACAGGTTTGTAATGTCATATGCTCCCACTTTCAACTATACGGGAGAAAGTAGTTGTAGGGAATATAAAAAAAAAAATGGTGCGACTTTTATAAATATGAGATAATTTAGTAATATAAATTTTTGCATAGACTGTAAAATTAAAATTGAAAAAAGATGCTTGGCAAAGGTAAATCGTTCAATGTTTTTTTTTATGAATGATATAAAACAATATGGAAAAAAGGATCAATGAACGAATAGGTAAATTCTATTTATTACGCTAAACACCTAAAAATATACTTCTTCTAACAATTTTAATAAGTACTAAAAATGATCTTCAAAAACAAATTGAAGTGAAAAAAAAGAATAAATACCTGACAAATAGCTACTTGTCACCTGTCGAGAGAAAAGGAAAATATTTCATTTTAATTTTCCATAATTTTAATTGTTGTACAACCACGACATTTTATTTTACCAGCGTACATGTCAATGTGTCAGATTGTGACAAGTCTTATTATAGGCTCTTTGACTTTGATGACCAGTCAAAGTCAAATTGAAATATTGATTTGTAGTGATCGATTTCCACTCATGACAAATAATTGTGTCATATCATTTGTTCTGTGTTTGGCTGAAATTTATTTCAAATATGATAATACATCTATTTTTCAGCAATCTGATTTACCATTGGACGGCCATTATGTGAGAGATACTAAGTTATTAAATATCACATCAATATTTTTCTTCAATTCTTGCATAAGTCTATGTTTATAAATTTGGAATGGCTGCAAAGAGATAAATGGCTCCAATTGATTTGTAGTTGGAAACTTGCCTGGCATGCCAGATGCAATTAACCTAGCAGATATTGGGCGTGTTTGTTGCAGCCGCCTAAACCGACATTTAACTTAACAATCAGAGCATTTGCCTGTTAATAGGACTTTGCTCAGTTAACGTACGACTAAGCTTAACGTAGAGTTGTATCGAAATCTGTATAGATGGTTGATAATACTGTTATGTAAGTATATTAGTATATAAATCTGCAGCGTCTATACATCCTCAAAAATTCCGTGTATGTGTTGTTCTGGACAATATAATTGTATACGAACTATAGTGTAACGTAATAATTGTTTACGTAATGTAATATTAACAGAAGAGTAGCTCTAAGAGCCCGCACAGCGGAATTTCACCTCGAGGTTTTCGATCGACACCGTATCGCTTTCAATTTGCATCAAATCACAGATTTTTTCACGTGATATTTCTCTGAAAGAGCGGATACAAAATAGATCCCATCTGTCAAAAAATTTGAGAAAGAAAGCGTTGACGAAATATCTCTGTGCGGACAGGCCCTAAAGCAAGCATATTTTTTTATAAGAAAAAATCTTACAAAAGTTACATATAATGTGTAACATCTGACATCTTACGGCACATTCTCGTACTGGGAGAGATCATTGGTTACATACAAGCGCTTTCGTTTCTTTTCACGAAATCACTCTCATAGGAAAGGCAGGAAAGGGAAAAGAAAGATTTTAAACATGATAAATATTTTTAACTGGCTCTTTTTGCAGGTGAAAGCCGAAGACCGTGGCGTGGAGCGAGCGGTGGCACTGGCAGCAGACGAACGCGTACGCATCGCAGCTAGCGACACCATTGAGTCGCTCCTAGAGACTGACTTTCGACTCATTATCAATGACACAGAGTATTATGTCAAGTCACCGCCACAGGTTAGTGATGGCTTTCATTATTTTTACTACTTACTAGTAGAGATTTCCACATACACATTACCCATACTTTAATACTATTTAATGAAGACGCCTCGAATTCAATTTTCCAACGACTCGCTAGACACCTCGCATGGTCTTAGGACCTTCTCCTTGGCTTGAATAATATAATCAAACCATCCGTTCCTCCACAATTCTTAACAACATACAGACGAAACTTTATAATTTTATAGTATATTTTATTTATTTTGAAAAGATTTATGTCTCTGGAAAATAAACATTCCTGTAAATTCAAATTATAAAATGGTATCCATGCTATACATTATATATTATGTTATTTGCTAAGAATTTAAGACCTCGTAGCAGCAACCAATAATCCGCGATTATATTGTACTGCCTTCCTACAGCTTGTTTACCGAAACTACAATAGTACATCAAAGCCTTCAAACATCTAACATAAACTATTAGTGTAGTAACTAATTAAAATATTTCATCCCCTACATAAATTGGACTAAACCAACTTAATTACCGAACTAATCAACTGAAACGACCCCTATAAACCTAAAGCACAAGTACATTTGGTTTGTCGTTACGTTTATATTTGCTAAGTGATTTAATTGGCTATTGGTGGCGGCTAGTGTACAGTTCAACGTATGCAGATATATGCTAATAGAGGGATAAACCAACGTAGACATACGATGCTTACTAGCTTATTGATTGAATAGCAGTTCGAGTGTGATTTAGTGGTCTGTCATCGTTGTTTACGCTAAGGGGCTATTGAGATTTGATACACAGGTTTTGGGTATATTACTGTAAATGATAGTGTGCAGTTTTATGTTTTAATGAACGATACTTACACGCGTGTACAGTATGTATTTAGGTTAATAGGAAACGAAATATGATGACGAAGAGAAGCCACATGAGTTTTTTTTTGTTGACGGGGCGGAAAATCCTTTCGGTTCTCCTGCTCCTCCGGGGACTCAGGAGCCAAAAGTATGTGGTGATTCCACTAAAACCCACTTGACGGCCGGCCTCAGGTGTCCTACTCTGAGAGGACCCGGACCATGTTATTTCAGGTCCTCCCCGAATTGACAACATGCCCTATCAGGGGAAAACACTTCCCCCCTCAATCGCAATCAAATCTTAATGCAATCAGGCTGCCATTCTATCTCCAATAATATAGAAAAACCCAATGACTAAGTGGGTGTCGAACTCACGCCTACCTCAGTGCAGTTGAACGCCTTAACCACTCGACTATCAGTGGTTAGCCATATGAGCTAAGAAACCAATCCTAAGAAAGCAAAAAACCAAACCAAAAAAACAAGCGAACCCTCATTTTCATTACAATTACGAATTAGCATCGTCATCAAAATCAACACTATCCAAAAAAATTACTAAACCAGTAATGCCGTTCGTGGGCTCGTCTATAGCTGAACCAACCAACTCATCATTTATTCAGACGTCGGCTAGGTTAATTTGGACTTCCAGCGAAAAATCGAACAGCAGCAGCCACTTTCCTAACCAAACTTGATTTTGGCATGATTGTAAATGCAGTTGCATTATCCAATCAGTGGACTTTTCAGAAATGGCGTCGATTTGGCACGATGCCGGTCGTATAGAATACTGGTTACTGTTAAAAAGGAAAGGTTAAAGTTAAGGTTTGTGTATAAATCTGTAGTGTTTCATTTCTATTCACTTAAAACTAAAAATGTAGATATAATTGGTTTTAAAATATGACTCCATTTTGATAAAGTTGAATTAACCTGATGAAGTCATGTAGTTCTGTTGAGTAGTTAAATGTATTTAGGGTGCTTAAACCTACTTAAGAATTTGAAGCCGCTAATAGTATAAACAGAAGCAATTGACTTTGTGTTTAAATTAAATAGGCGCGAGTTGTTTGATTGTGACACAAATTAAAAGTAAACAAAACTGTTTTAAGTGGTAAAGAGGAGAACCAATAATGCTCCACAGCTCAATCAATTATATTATGGTGGAAGCAAGATAAGCCTTAGATGTAGATGAATACCATTTTCAGTAAACTGTTATAACAGCATCCGAATGTTTCCTAAAATGTGTTTTAATGTAAAGTATCTTTGTTAACTAAATGCATGAATGCTAAGAGACTGAGACTGCAAAGCCCACTTAAAAAGTATAATCGAGTAATAAACAAACTAAAATATAGTTATGCACCTGAGGCATCCTAGAATTTTTTAATCATATGTTTGTTTTATTTTTAGCAGCAGTCATAGGGTTACTAAAAATTATAAATAAAGCAATTTAAAAAACTAACTTAAACAGTTATGGTAAACTTTATATATATTTCAGTTTCAGGAATAGAATAGGAATCAATATTTATTATGTTTAGCTTTTGTGCTACAACAAACAGAATAGAATGACGATAATATAGAAAAAATACCTAAGCTGGAAAAGCTAGTAATTTATATAAAAATCCTAAGAGCCCAGTAATTTTACTGTCTGACCCTTAAGAACCAATCTCATAAATCCGTATTAAGAAAGCTCCGGTCTTCCGCAGATCGTTAAGTAAGCAATAAAACTTTTTATTTGCTCCATAACAAATATACTTGGGATGTAATTGTTACCGCTTAAAAATGCATATAATATTTTATTTATGTCGCAAGTGACGTATGACACTCGTTCTTAAAAATACTTTTAATTGTTTAGTATGGTTATGAATAACTTGTTTCTGTCCGCAACTTCGCTTGCTCACTATCAATTTTGACTATTTTTTTTGCCAGGATTTAAAAACACATTATTTGTAGACTATAATCTATGTCTGTGAGAAAATGATCTAAATAATATAAAGTTAACCATACTTTTACAATGATACCAGCTAACGACTCAGTCAAAAATTAATCAGTCAGGATAATGACGTATTGGATCGACTTGCTATTTGCAGTTACTTGATGCTATTTCAGCATTTTCAATCAATTTTAGTATATTTATTATTTCAAATAAATTAGTAGTGACGCCTTAAAATACCACAATTATCTGCTTGCAACAAATCTGTATTAAAAACGACAGCAGACAAAGTGACAGTTTTATGCTAATTGATATCTCGGTAAACGTAAGGAGGTTAGAAGGAACCACTAACAAGAAATCCTGCTTTGGATGTTTTTTACTTTTAAAAGTAGAATCTGGTTTGTGATTTAGTCTCTATCTAGTATCTTAATATATTACTAAAAATGCGAATGGGCTTTTGATTGTTATGCGTAACATCTTAACTACTCAATCGATCCTTATGAAAAGCCACCTGTACTTTAGCAAGAATGAGTGTCTTCAACTGACAGTATATTAACTTTTAGACCAGGGCACGAATCTAGTTTTAAATAGATAATTGTTCCTGTTCTACAAATAAAATTGTTCATACAAACGTCCCAATGTCTTCCAAACTGATCCGTTAGGAAAATTAGTTCGAAATTAAGCCAAGAAGACAACACAGGTAGCTTAGACAAGAGCTGCATGTACAATGGGTACAAGTTTAGTATTTGTTCTGAACAAACAGGTGGTTCGGGAAAATCAGCACTTACATAAGTACTACGAGGATTCTACTGTTTATTAAGCTCGAGACAAATATGAATGTAAATGTAGGTAGATACGCGCAAAAATTTGTGTGAAAACTAAGTGTTTTGTCTAGCTTATGTTAATTCACATGCATTGTTTGTTAGTAGATATTTGTGTAAAGACAACGCGCCAAAATTCAAGTATTAGTTTTTTACTTTATTAAAATTCTTGCTGCAAAAAGTGCATCGCCTTGATAGACTATGGCCATAAAGCTCTCAATCATACTTAGTGGGCTCACATCCAATACCAGATACTTGTTATCTGAAAATCAATTCCCGTAATAAAATAAAATAAAAAAATAAAAAATGATTCTGTTCCGGTCTACTCTCGATCTCACAAATGTCATGTACTAAACATTCAACGTTGACTGTAATGTGATTGTTTCATATTTTGACCGAAAGTTAAATCGGTATTCTGCTAGTTTTTTTTTTATTTCTTTACTACTTTGAGATCGAGAGTATATCAGAACCAACTTCTTAACACTTGTTAATAAAAAGAAAAACATTTTTCAAGGAACTTAAATACCACCAATTTTTATATTGAACTAAAGGTACTTTGTTGTTGGATGGCAATTTTCAGTAATGATCGCATGCTTTAATTTTATTTTTATATTAGGGATTTATGAAGAAAATTAAAAAAATAATAATAATGCTTTTTACTTTCTCTCCGTAGTAAAGTGAAGATGGATTTTACTTCCGAAAATGAAGCGATAATCTCTAAATTTTACGGGGAAACGATGAAAGACCCAGCCCTTAATAATCTTAGCGATGCACGATAACGTCGTTAGCTTCGATTTTCACCTTGGCTTGCTCTTGTTGATAATGTCAGTTAATTCTACGCTATATTAAAATATTTGCTTTATTATTATTTCTCATAAGTCGATGACTAAAATATAATTCTTGTCTTCATTACATCAACGTCAGACAATAATTAACTGTAAACAGATTATACCTCAGAAGACGTTTTATGAGCTAAAACTAGATGTAAAACAAAATAATTCATAAATTATTAGTACGGATAGGTAATCATATTTGTTTTAAATTAACTCACGTCGCAATATATATCCGTCTGTGTATATTATATTGGTGAACAAGCATAGGGCAATCGTTCGCTCCGATTAGCGGATAGTTAATGACTGTTTGCGACACATAATGGTGACATTAATTTGCTTTACTGATGTTTATGTTAATGATCAGTTTATTTGTCGTAATTTTTAGCCTTTACATTTGATTTTATATTGACTTAATGAATATACAATTATGACGAATGATGACTTGATAAACTAAAATGATTACCGCTACGTGTTACCAGATGATTATCAACTGCAATTTAAAATTATGCACACTGCAGCTTCGCATGCATTGAAGTAGAATGTATTTTTATCAATTTTATCTACATCATTTTCTATGTCTTTACAATTC